TTTTTTAATTTTATTTTATTCTTAATACGAATTGTTAGCTCTGCTCTCACCAGGGTCCCCTACGAAGAATCAGTGTTTAATACATCATTTCATCCTGGTCCCTGGAGATTTTCGCCGAGTTTTTCATAACGAGAACATAAAATTGTAAATTATCTTCGATTTTAATACAAAAGAAGAGTTTCATCTAAAATCCCTTTTTATTGCCTTTTGGCTAAAAGGGTATTTTTGATGCACTTAAAAAAAAAACAGAACCACAAAGACAAAAATATCCAAAAGACATTCATGTCGCTAGCACTGCTATACCAGATCTTATGGAAGAGATATCTCTACTTTCTTCCGAAAACGAAATAAAAAAAAACATAGTTCATCAAAACTGTCATTCAATGACCATTAATATAGAACTATAATAGCCGTAATATACCTACTGTATGAATCAGTCTTTCAATTAAGATATTCCACAACAACTACTTCAGGTCCAGACAACAAAAATATAACCAGGAAGTAAGGTCACGTGATATAGCTTTCACAAGTGACAAATATGGTTATGTCCTTTGAAAATTAAACTAATACTGCTTTTGTGTCAGTTTGATAACAGACAGTCATCAGAAAGGTAACCAGGAATTAATGTCACGTGATATAGCTTTTACAAGTGATGAAATACGATTACGTCCTCTTCACTGTAAGAATGTTTATAATCAACAGAAAAAAAAATATTTTAGTTTTATATCAACGTTATATGTTTGCATTGGTAATTGTTTATTTATATAATATAATAACGTATCATTTTGATCGTATGGTTCATTTAAATTTTTTGTTTACCATGACGTTGAATAATTATGTGTACAATCAATTTAAGTTGCATAAACTTGATGGTACACTGCATTGATGGTGGAATCAGTTTCTCTAATGATTTTTATACAATATGCGGGAAAACTTATTCCTTATTTTAAAATTTTCTGAAAAAAAAAATGTGCTCTTTCTATGTGACGCCAGAAGGAATGGTCGCCTTTTTATATGACGTCACAATAGGAAATTCAGAGGAAAGCAAGAAAACGAGACGTCATACTCGAATTTTGACCAATGAACAGTTGAGATCAAACGAACCACACGTTGATTAAATAAAAATAACCAACAGGTTAGGAAAACAATAAATCGGGTAAGAATTAGAAAAAATATTTCAAAGATACAAAATTTGGTTTTTAATTTTTACTATACCGGTAGAATTCTTTTTAAAACCACACATCCAATCCTAATTTATTATACTTCAAATTAACATGCCAGATTTTAATTGGCTTATACTAGGGAGATAAATAACTCTATCCCATGGCTTAGCGAGAGAAAAAATTTTGAATGTCACCTTCTCGTGTAGACCAATCAAAATTCTATTATTTAAAGGACAATGAATTGAATTGACATCAATAATTTTTAAGACAATGCTCAAGTTCAAATTTTTCATAGACTGTCAACATAAAAAAATGTTTCGCTTTTGTGATGTTTTTCTAATAACTGTAACTTTGTTATGCACATGACGGCATAGTTATTTTCTTTCAATTTCCAATTTAAAAGACAATAATGACAGAACGTTTAGTATAATAAATTAAATAACGCATAGCTGAGAAGGTGATAGAGCACACTGTAACCTATCGAAAAAACATTTCTAACCTTGACTTTCTCGGGATAACAATCTGCTCTATCACCCTCTTAGCTATGAGTTATTTATGTATTGTACAGTAATGGTAAAATACGGTCCATGTCAACTAGTGATCTTTTGAATACACAAATTCTTAATTAAATTTAAATAACATTTTTGAACATTGATTTGTTTTTATCAATTAAAACATAACTAACTCTTAATTGTTACCATTGCGAACACGTATTATCCTGTCGATGTTCTATTTATATAATTTAGCATTTCAAAAGGTCATACTATTATTTAAAATTGAGAATGGAAATGGGGAATGTGTCAAAGAGACAACAACCCGACCATAGAACAGACAACAGCAGAAGGTCACCAACAGGTCTTCAATGCAGCGAGAAATTCCCGCACCCGGAGGCGTCCTTCAGCTGGCCCCTAAACAATTATATATACTAGTTCAGTGATAATGAACGCCATACTAAACTCCAAATTGTACACAAAAAACTAAAATTAAAAATAATACAAGACTAACAAAGGCTAGAGGCTCCTGACTTGGGACAGGCGCAAAAATGCGGCGGGGTTAAACATGTTTATGAGATCTCAACCCTTTAGACTGTATATGATGTCTTTACACTAAAGATTTTTAAGTTTGTTCTTGTATCCAATCTGATTTTTCTTTGATATTCAAGGTCACTGAGAAAAAAAATGAATTCCACCGTCAACGTTTATGTTGAATAATTCGGAGAATCAATTTAACTAAAAGAAAACCTTGATAACTGGCTCTTTCTCTGATTTATATGCAACGACTTTGAATATCATAGTGAGTGGCTGTTTTTTTTATCTTCATTTTGAAAAGATAAAGAATATAATAGAAATATCCTTATATTATCTGTAAGTTATTAACTCATAACTATCATGTGTACCTAAATATCATCATAACATTCACATTGTTGGAAACAAGAATATATATTGAAGCCCGCCTCCTAGTTCGGGATTTTTCTCGCTGCGTTGAAGACACATTGAAAGTCTTCGGCTGTCTTTGGTCGAATTGTTGTCTCTTTGACATATTCCAGTTTCCATTTTCTATTCTATGTTTACATGTTGTAGGGTTTGAAAAAATCATGTTTATTTATAGCTATGTTGATTGAACGTTCGTATTTAATTTAACATATTTAAGCTGCTATATTAGTCTCATATACCTAAGGAAGAGTCTCGGTACTAATAAATTAATCATTCCATATATTGTTAAGTAATCACTCATCCTATTACCGGCTATCATAAGGCATATTCAATTTGATTTGTAATGCCGATTGTCATTTAAAACAATTGTTTACGCCATTATTTGTAGCAACTTTTGTCTATCTTTTTACAATGTATTTTGCAATCTTGATTTTGATCTGTTTTATCTGCTGTATATGCAGTACCGATAGCCGGTTATATGTTGTGGATCAGATTATCTCAAATCAATAAGTCATGTGATACTTTGTTCAAATGCAGGTATTCGTATATGTCTAAACAACACTTATATATATATAAAAAGATGATAGTAACTTGTAATGGACTATACAAAGGTCGCGTTGTAAAACGTTTTTCAAATTAAAAAAAAAACGCAATGGGAGTCAGCATTTTTGCTTTCTTGATACAAAAAAATAAGTAAAAACAGTTTTTCACTATAATAAAAATTAGATTATGGTTGACCTATTGCGTACTCCCAACTTAAATTACAAATCCGTATAATTATTTTTGAACCAAGCAAGAATTAACTGGATTTGTTTTTAGAAAGCTAAGTAGAAGGATTACATAACTAAATGATTTAAAGAAAATATGCAGAGATTGTTGTGTTACTTCACAACAAAGAACCAAATATTAAAATCAATTTGAAAGGACTTGACGCATCAGAACAATGATTAACACTCATGAAACACAAATCGGCCAACACAATGATATAAGTGTACTTGCAGTTACTGAAAACTAATATAATGTCCAAAAACAAATAGTATATTTATGACCATAATTTGTTCTCAGATTAAAACCATGGTAGTGTTTATAAACATAGTGATCTTCTGCTGACTTATTTGTACTGAAAAGGTGTGCACATTTCTAGGTACATGTACATTCGATAAGCAAGCGAAAGTGGTAAAATAACTGAATGTATTGAACGTTGCTAAATGAACATAATATTTCATTAGTACAACCGCATGAACCCTACATATTCTATATGTGCCTGTCCTAAGTCAGGAGCCTGTAATTGAGTGGTGGTTGTTGTACTTGCTGGTTATCAGAATTGTTTTTGGTTTATTGTTTTGTATATTATGTTCTTGTGTTATGCTGTTCTACCACTTTCCCACGTAAGGGGGAGGGTTTTGCGCAATATAACTAGTTTAACCCCGTCACATTCTGTATGTGCCTGTCCAAAGTCAGGAGCCTGTAATTCAGTAGTTGTCGTTTGTTGTTGTGTAACATATTTGTTTTTCGTTCATTTTTTGTACATAAATTGGGCCGTTAGTTTTCTCGTTTGAATAGTATTACATTTGTCATTTCGGGGCCTTTTATAGCTGACTATGCGGTATATCTGATGATGACATACTTGAATGCTTTTGCTTAAAATAAAAAAACTTGGAAATTTGAAACTATGTTATTACTTGACCAACATATTGTAAAACAATATAACTATATTTGATGCATACCAAGCATAATTGATTAAGGAAACTGACACAATTGCATGACTAGCAATCACCATCTAAAGTTTAATCATTTAATCTTTGAAAAATTAAACCTGACAATTTGTCAATTTTTTATTTATTTAAACATAACAAATATGAATGTAAACGGAAGCTTGCAAAATTTAGTGACAGGAAACTACTACTTTGAGTCAAGAACTAAGATTACTATCATGAAATCTCTGAAAACAGGAACCCGGAAAATTTATCAAATTTAAAAAAAATTAGATTTGGCTGTCAATATTTGACAAAATATATATCGAATTAGCTGAAATATCTGAAATATCTAATTACAAAAAAATATTCATGATATATATCTTAGTCAAAAGATTCATTCTTTTAAACACCAAACCTGGAGAGTTAAATAAAATATATAGTATGATTCTGTAAAAACTTATTCACAAAGGTACAGATATACATTTCATATACATGTAGGTATTTATAAATTGTTCCATAGCCTGAGAAACTAGAACAAGAGATCGTTGATACAAATTAAGTCAAGTTAAATGTTATAAGACAGAAACGGGGACTTCATATTATTGATCAAATCCAAACGATATTTTCTATTTCATAAAATATTTAATCATTACATTTATGTGTGACAAATAATAAAGTACTCAGACAACTGTTTTAAAAATACTTACTTTGAGACTCACTTTGTCTGTCAAAACATGTCACAACATATACTGCAACTCGTTTGTGGAAGTTATAGAGCAGCCTGCTAACAAGTTTTACCAGGAAGTATTGTCACGTGGTATAGCTTTCACAAATGACAAAATACGGTTATGTCCCTTTCACTGTTTGGTTCTTGATACGGTCTGATACAATTTTATACACAGCAAAATTGTTATGTCTACAACATGACGCCACAGCATAAGCAGCACAATCAAGTTGAATTGCACAGAGTTTATTAGATATATGATATGGATTAATGTGTCAATTAAACAATTAAAATGTATCAAAAATACATATGACCTAAAAAAGGCATATGTATGTAGCGGACATACTACCAGAGACTTACTTATTTTTTGGGGACGGTTATAATCAATATAATTTGATCTTTTATTTTCAAACTAGGCCGTTTAGGAAGAAAACGAATTTGAATGTCATCTCCAACTTGAATATTCCATTATTTGCAGATAACAGTCTTCATTGAAGCCCTGTATATTTGCATTCTCTCTATCTCTAACGTCTTCGCTTATTATCTGAACTAAGTGAGAAATGATCGTCCAACTTTATTTACGAACGTACAACATATTTCAATTCTTTAGGTACTTTTAGGTTTGATTCGCTGTTTAACAACATTTGTATTAGATTTTAGATATTCAAATATTTTGGCCTCGAGCATCACTTAAGAGACATTAATTGTCGAAATGCGCATCTGGTGAATTAAAATTGGTACCGTTCATATTATATAGATACACTTATCAAATAATCACAATGTTGTGTTTTAGTGCATATTAGTATCACATAACTAATCGTAAGTCTCGGTAATCATGATAATCAAAAACTGTCTAATAGATACTTTATATTGAATAAAGGCAACAGTAGTATACCGCTGTTCAATAGTCAAAAATCTATTAAGCGAAAACAAATCCGGTTTACAAACTAAAACCGAGGGAAACACATAAACTATAAGAGGAAAACAACGGAACAACAGAAACACTGAACTGCAACAAAAACAAACGTCAACTTACATAGAAACGGACTATTTGACAACTACCACAATTAACCAGTTTCTCTGACGTAAGTCTATTGTTCTAGCAGTTGATTCTTTTAAGAATCTATTGTGAACAGACACTAACTTATATTCTAACTTTTGACTTAAACTTTTTACCTCACACAATTGTACAACTCATTAGGGATTCGAACTTGCGAAAGTTTTCGTCAATAATCACTATAGTCTTCGGACCGTGCATGATACCACTCGACTACGATTGCTGATATACAATTGCTAATAATTTATACTCTAAAGCGCTTTATTGAGGACTCTTTCCAATACATATGTTCACAAATTATGAGGTTCCTTCATTTATATCCAATGTGGATACTAACTAGTTTATTATATTTATTTTATGGTTTTTATTTTAAGTATTTTTTTTATTGGGAGTGGTTTTGATAACCCATGGAATATAACATTCATATCGACATTTCTAGATTAAACATCAAGACAATACAATTTAACTATGAAAATAAAGCGGTATAATTTTAAAGCAATACAAAACTGTAACAACAAAAAGAAAAAAATGGATCAAGACCTTTCTCTGAAAACATAAGGAATTTTTATTCCGGATTTCATGTTTGAACATGATTAAATCTATGATTTAATTTTGTGATCAGATGAACCTTACCGTTATAGGATTGCGGCTATTACACTAATGTTAGAATAAACCCTTAAAAAAATCAACATCTATCATAGCAAACGTTTACTTATGTTTTTAATTTTATAATATATACTATCAATAATTTCGTCTTTGTTTGATCATAATTGGTCCAAATAAACATAACACCAATGTTGAACGGACTTCATATTATATAAAGTTTAATATAATAGCCACAACCGTGACTATACTTGTTTTTTACAGTAAACAATCTCTGAACAGTTGCAGACTCCACCTGTAACAGATGTATACATTTTGAAGTTAAACCTAACTTTTGTTTTCTTGACGGATGACTAAATATAGACATGATTGATGTGAACTGTGTAGATACAATCATTTCCAACTATTTGAGAATAAAATTGACAATAAATATGAAGTTATCTTCATGTGATGCTCTTGATTTATTGCCAAAAAGTAAAACAGATAGTCGTTTTACCAAAAATGAGTTAAGCTTGAAAATTAAGAAGAAGTTTACGAATCCACTACTTATAAATTCTATGATACATAATCAACTTATCGTTTAAAATATTGCGATAATCTCAAACTAAAAAGTCAGGTAATTATCAATTTCAATGAAGGAATTTGCACATATATGAACATTTATGTATCTATCCTTTATTTATATAAAACGGTTAAAGAAATATGAAATGAAACATGAAACTGTCGCATTTATTTAACAAAAAGATTTATCGTTCTTGCTACACAAAAAGGATATAAAAACTAATCAAAGATACCAGGCGTAGGACTCATTAGTGACACTCACAGCAAAACATTTGGAAGGCGAAATAAAGTTGAAGAGAATTTTAAACCAAACATTTCTACAAATTGTTCCAAATACGACTTGGGCAATATATGCCTAGGGTAGTAACCTTAGTCTTAGAAAAAGAAAACTAAGAAAACAAGCACTAAATAATAATAAAAAAAACAATCAAAATATAAGAAAGGCACGTGCAAGGGTTTACAAATGAAAAGCAACTGAACAAGTCATTCCCCGTATGTTTTGATTCTGGCCAGTAGATCTTAAGGACAAATTAGAACATTATGAAAAATATAGAGATGGGTTGCGATTGCTAACTATCCACCAAGAACAAATGGCATTTAAGGATGTGAACGACTAGATGCTTACTTATCTGTATGAGTTTCATAGCCGGCTTACTATAAGGTATGAGTTTTATAGCCTACTTGCTATAAACTATTCGTGTGTATTATAGCTTGTTTATTGAACGGTATGACTTTTAGTCATTGTTGAAGTGTGAAAAAATTCAAAAACATAAACCAACGGAATGATTTTATCATGGTAACAGCGATAAACGAAAAACAATTTGACCGACAGAAACCAAGAAAGACCAATGAATTACAGGCTTCTAGGTTGGAACAGGATGTACCCTCTTCCTTACTTGTAAATGTAACATATTTTAACAGATAAGAACATAAGAACAAACTGTAAAAATCAGTTTGAAAGGGCTATACTAATTATATTGCATTTATCATTACAACTAACAAAAAGACAAATGCTAGAAATAAAATGCATATCCAAATGTACCCGCAAGTACTCAAAGCTATTTTCAATCAGGTATCAACTTTTTTCCCCAGAAAGAAACTTTGGTGATCTTCTTCCAGCCAATTCGTATCAAGAACAAGTACACATTTTTAGGTTGATACAATAAGCAATCGTTCACAGTTACGTAGACACATACAATGAAAAAATGGTCAAAATCGTCTTTTAAGGACTGAATCCTATAAGCAATCAAAACAGTAGCAAACGATACCACAGGGACATTCAAACTCATTATTAAAAATCAAACTGAAGATGCAAGTGCAAATAAATACACCAAAAGACAAACAAAAGTATATAAAACACAAATAGAAAGTAATGACTGGGCAACACAAACCGCATAAAAGAACTGGGATGATCATAGGTGTTCCGGGTAAGCATATCCTGCTCCACATGTGGCACCCGTCGTAAGTAAAAATCCGGTGAGAAGTCTAATTTGGTAGGTCATCTCATTAAACAGAGATTTAAAAAAAAAATTAAAAAAAAAGGAAACTTAGATACACATTTCTTGCTTATTGTCATGCAAAATCTTATTTGTGAAGAACCCAATATATTCCCAACACATAAAAACACCTAAGATGATATTATCACAGCACAATGCTGATTTTTATTTATCGAAATTATATTTGTACAGTTTGGAGGAGGGATATTTGAGCAGACAATCGATATTCCTATGGGTACTAATTACCCACCACTACTGGTCGACTTATTTTGGTACTCATATTAAGCAGAAATAATACAGTTCCTTCTGGAAAACAAAAAGTAAAAAGCATCTTTCAAAATTCTTTAATTTCTCTTTCAGATATATTGAAAATTTTCTGTCACTGAATTGCCCGCATTTGAATGACTGCTTACATCTCGTTTACACCAGTGAATTTGAGATTAACGTTACAGCCTTAAGTGGAGGGTCTGCTTTATGTCTTGATCTTTTCCTCGATATTGACACCTATGGACAATTCAAACTATGATCTTTGACAAACGTGATGCTTTCAAAAACTATGCTTCATCGAATGGCGTTTACATATTTCAGTTAACGCGTTACATTAATATTATTATTCTAGGATATGTTTTTCGTATATTGTTTTGTATATAAACTTAAGCTGTTGGTTTTATTCATTTGAATTGTCTTATATTTTGCCATGTCGGAACCTTTGATAGCTGACTATACGCTATGGATGTTGCTAATTGTTGGAGGCTGTTCGGTGACATATAATTGCTTGCATTCATGTTATGTTGGGTAGGTATCTCATTGGCTATCATACCACAACTCCGTATTTTATATTGTTTGCTCAATCATATTTTCGCTTTTTATAGCAGTTTGAACAACACTTGCTTTTTATCCAAATGTTCTATTTCCAGCCTTTGCAGTCATATCAAAATAAGAAATTAACTACTAATAAACATTTGACCTTCATTAATGAGCAAAAACAAATACAACACCGCACAGTAAGCTATAAAAAGCCCCGAAATGACAAATTTAAAACAATTAAAACGATAAACCTAAGGCACTGATTAATGTACAGAACAATTTGGACCAGGATTTTCAGATTTTCAAACAGCAAACAGTTTGCCCGTTTTCTCCTCCTGTAAAATTTCTTCATGAAAAAGATCATAAATGTTCAAATTTTACCATGAAAATATTCAAAACAAATAAAGATTACAAACTAGATGTTTTAGAATTGAACAAGAGTATACATGAAGAAAGTGGCAATTTCTATTATAATTCAAAAATGTCTTTCCTGTTTCAATTACTTTTACTCGGTGACTAGAAAAATACTTCTATTAATACAATATATCAT